GTTTCTTGCTAATATATAAATAGATTTTTGTTGTCTTTTTTATTTTTATTTTGGGCATATATATTTAGAAAATTATCATTTTTTAATTTTTCATTGTTTTATTTTAGATACCAAGAATTACAAAAGAAGAGTCAGTTCAAAGAAAACTTGTAGCTCAAGAAGCTAAAATACAAGAACTTCAAAAAGAAGTCCTAAAGTTACAAGAAGAGGTGAAGCAACTTAAAAAAGAAAATAAGACTTTATGATATCAAAAATCAAGATTAGATTTAGGAAAGGAGGAGAAAGAAATTTAGAAGAAGATTTATTTAGTTCTGAAGAGTAGTTTAAATTAGGTTCCTATAGAATGAGTATTAAATAAGGAGTAGATTATGAAAATCTAGGAGTAGATTTAAATAGTTTATTAAAAGAAAAATAATTTTTCTAGATAAAATTTTTGTAAATAAAATAAATTATTCAAAAAATAAAAATAAAGTTTTAAATTGTTCGATAAAAGAATTAAGTTTTAAAAGTTGTTTAATAGACTTCTAATTTAAATAAAAATAAAGTTTTAAAAGTGTTTTAAAAAAAATAATAAATCATAGTCTAAAATTATTTAAAAATTGTTCAAGAAATTTGGTGTATTTTCATCAGGTTTTAAAAATTTTCACTAAAATAATATAATATTTCTCTTTAACATCATTAGGAGTCTCTCTTCTATATCTTATGTTACTTGAAGTGTATTAAGAAGACTATACTATGTGTAACACTATTATAAACTAATATTACTATAATATCTAACTATTTAAGCTAACTTACTTATTACAAATTTATTAACTAACTTAAGTTTAAGTTCTCTCAAATTATATTATAAATATTTATAAAACTAGTTAGCCTCAAAATATATTTACTAGAGTAGTATATCTATTTTTGAATTTATCTAATTTAGACTCTTTTAATATTTATATAACTCTAGTTCCTACTATAACTCTTTACTAATATATATTTTCTAATCTTTTTAGATATTTTATAAAATAGATTCTTCCAAATTTAGTTAGTTATAAAACCAAATTAGTATTGCTAATCTTTTCTGTAAAATAGACTTACTTGTATCTAATTTAATCTTTATTTTAAAAGTAACAATTTCTTTTTAAATTAAGTATTAGCTAGCATGATTATCAAAAGTTACATTACTTTTCTAATTCTGAATTTTTACTATGCAAATTCTCTGTCTTAGATCCTATTATACAATATTATATTATACTTCTAATATCTGATTGATATTAGTATAATATAATTTATAAAGTTATAACTTTAGAAATAAACAGAATTTACTAAAAATTAAATACAAAGATTTGAATATTTGTTAATAGTAAGATTTGAACCCAGATTATTTTTTCTATGTATTATTTTAATTTATTATATATATATATATTTAATTAAAGTAATTAATATGTATTTACTATGCATAGTTGTTTATTAATAGGATTAAGTAATAAAAAAAATAATTGGTCGATATGATTACATAGTAGTAAACATAGTTAAGTAAAATATACCTTATAGTGAACCTACATGTAAATATTTATAGTATTACAAAAACCTTTCAAATAATAATAGATTTAAATAAATTCGCGACTGTAGTGTTAACCAAGTATAGAATCCTTACGCTATGATTAATAAGCATTGACCTACTAAACTAAGAGTTGAAGGACTTGTATGTAGAACTATACTTTGCTGGTTCTATATTATGCGAACATTTGGTAACAACTTAAATGAATAGAATATTCTATATTCATTACGGTTACGTAGTAGTTTTATTATTATTGTTATTATTATTTTACATTTAATATTACTAAATATAAGCTTATAAATTTAATTTAAAAATATGTTATTACATATTAAGATATATAATTGTATTAGAATTCAAAATAGTAAGTCGATATCATACTGAAAAAAAGGCAGATTACTTCATTAACAACCCTACTCTGGAAAACTCCTGTTTAAACCCAAACCATACTGGAGTAAGCAAACTGGAGTAATACTCCAACTTGGAGTGATTTCAACAAATTTCAACCCAAACTAATTATAATAAGTATTTTATTTTTTATTTTTTTGTTAAACTAGTGGAATTTTTCAATATAATATAAAAGCATAAATACGCACATTTATTTTTACTGATCCTTTGAATTAAATCATACCGGCATTTTTTTTTAGCTTTAATGTTTGAAATTTTTATTTACAGACAGGCCTTAATAAATTTATTTCTTTTTCGGGTTTAAAGGCTAAGTTGTTTCTAGCAGCAGGGCTAAGCTAGTTTCAAATATTTCAAATATTTTGATAACTAACTCCATAGCCACTTACATGCCCGAGATTTTCGTTGGGAAGTTATTCATCTTGCGTCCTAAAGCAAAAAAAAAAGACACTTTGTGTTGCTCGAGATAAGCTCAAAGCCACAGGACGACGATCGCGGATTCATCACATATTCGGAGAAGTTGAAAGGTATCTAAGCCTTTTAAATGCTACATGACGAGTCAATGACGATTAATGAAATTTTATACAATGTACGTCGAATAGACATCAATTTTAAATCCACTGTTTTTTCCAAATAACGATTAAACATAAGTAAAGCTGTATGAGATTGTTCCCTTTATTTCTTTTGAGCCTCAATTAGGCATACCATGGTTACACGAAAAAACATAACATAAATTTATCAAAATGTATACGTACGTACTACGTACGTATCGCTACGTACGTATGATTAACTTATTACCGTTACTGTATACATTTTTATTATGTTTTTATGTAACCGTGATACGTATACTTTCTGAGCCTACTGTACGTACGCGAATGGGATCCGTTGCTTATAGAATGATTGTCTATTTTATTTGCAAATTTGAAAATTCACAGCCTCTTACGCTTTCCATTATTAAATTGCAATGCTTCGCTTTCGCTTTCTGATCTTCTTCAAAATAGCTAACAACACAATTAATAATCGATCAAAGCCTTCTTCTTGTCTCCAAAATTTTCATGAATACAAAATCTTCTTATTTATTTGGTTAGATATGTGAACGATCGATCTAAGCCCTATCTACGATCGTCTTAGATTGCAAATGTTCAATAGGGAAGAGGCTTGGGCATTCATGATCTTTCCTTTTTTTTTCCCGAGTTTATGAACGTGTGCGTTCGATCTCATACCTAAGTATCTTGGCATTGTTGCGGCATTATTGCGTACGTGTTGATTGCCTTAAAGATCATATCTCTTTCAAAAATATAAAAACCCCACTTTGTAACGTCCTTTACATAACAGAATTTAGACACTTTATAAAAATAAAAATAATAATTATTATTATTACATATACATAAATACATAATGAAATTCACTTTATCTTTAATTTTGCCCATTGTTATGACCGCCGTGTCAGTCACGGCCAACCCGGAATGTAGGTTTTTTTTAATATATAGTGTTTATGTCTTGTTAATAATCGCGTTAACCTTTAAAATATGGCATCATAGCTGAACCAGATGCAAAATATGAACCATATTATTATCATCGTCATAAATATTATAAACGTGATCCCGAGGCCGTGGCTCAACCCGATGCTAAAGCAGAAGCTGACCCTTATTATGGCTATCATAAACATAAATATTATAAACGTGAAGCAGAAGCCGAAGCCGACCCTTCCTACTATGATTATGGCTATTATCATAAACATAAATATTATAAACGTGAAGCAGAAGCCGAAGCCGACCCTTCCTACTACGATTATGGCTATTATCATAAACATAAATATTATAAACGTGAAGCAGAAGCCGAAGCCGAAGCTCAACCCGATGCTAAAGCAGAAGCTGACCCGCACTACTACGATTATGGCTATTATCATAAACATAAATATTATAAACGTGAAGCAGAAGCCGAAGCCGAAGCTCAACCCG